GTATATGTATATATATATGCAAAATAAGTGGATCATTTGCTCGCTGATCTGGTTTTGAAATGTGGCCCAGTTGAAATAGTAATTGAATAGCCCTGCTATAGTTTGTTTGTTTGTTAGCTATCTAACAACACATCAAAAATAATTGTAAGCCAGTCTTGTTCAGTGACTGGCCAGGTGAGATGCCTGTTTGGGTGTTAATGAGTCTATGTCAATGTGATTTGTATTGCAAACAGTCAGGATTAGCGCAGAGATTGTTTAGTTGTGTGCAAGAATCTGCTTGTGAACAGTATTAGCAAACTAAACACAGCTTTGGCGAAGCCAACTAATCAATGACCTAACTGCAAACAATCACAACAATAGCTCAATGACAGCATTAAATCACATACAACAAGTTAAACAGTCTTGCTTAGCCTGTAAAGCTGTGATGAAGCTATGCCTAGTTGTTACTTTACTGATCCTTGAGTGGATGGGAGAAAGAGTCACTTGGTGGTTTACTGCTTTGTTAGCCAGCGGAAGAAGGCTGGGAAGAGCTGTGGTTCCAGCTGCAGTCTTTGATGGGTCAGGGCAAGGAGTAAGGGTCTGAGCATCTGGGCTGGTCCAGGCCCAGCCGGAAAGAGGTGTGGGCTGCTTCGCAGTTCCCGAGTAAGAGAGGGATCTCCTGGAAGGGAGCAGACCTTCTACAGGCCTGTGACATCACAGAGTCACATGTCACTGTAGAAGTCCTGTCCAATCAAGTTGTGAGACTTGTGTCTCACTGAGGTGTGAGGTGAGACCTCCTGGAGATGGGTGTCAAATAGCTGTCTTTGTTTGAAGACAAAGAGCGTGTATAAAAGGAAGCCTTTAAATCTCCAGTTTAGATTTTACCAAATGACAAATAATCATATGTCGTCCTGTGAATCCCAAGAAGAGGAAACATTTCACTCTTCTGGAGAGTGATTTTGTAGCCAGATATTTTACCAAACTGGTTTAAGGTGTGGACAATTGAAGGAACAGAAGTAGTAGGGTTAGATGTGTACAATAATAAGTCGTCAGCATAGAGAGATACCTTGTGAGGTAGCCCATTTCTTGTTATCCCTGAAAAATCTTCAGACTGTCTAAGAGCTATGGCTAACAGCCCTATTGCAATGGCAAAGAGGAGGGGTGACAGTGGGCAGCCTTGATGGGTGCCTCTACCCAGAGAGAAATATTCAGACTGCTGACCATTGGTAATTACAGTGGCCAAGGGTTCACAGTATAACATTTTCATCCAAGATACAAACGCCTCATCAAATCCAAATTGTTTGAGAGCTAAAAAAAAAAAAAGAAAGTAGTTACATTCTACTCGATCAAATGCTTTTTGAAGTGAGATCACCATTTCAGGAACAGAGGCTGAAGGGGAGTACACGATATTAAGCAATCTTCTTAAATTAGAGCTAGAGTGTCTGTTTAACCCTTGTGTGACCCCTGGACATTTTTGTCCATTTCTAAAACTCAAAACTCCCTCACAGACAAATGAAAGGTCACAGGGGGGTGATATTTTGCATGGGGGTGTCATTCTGGGTGAAATTTGAAAATCCCAACTTTCAGCATGAAAATCCATTATTTGACCCTGTAATGCATTTTTATCCCATCCATGACCCCTCAAGTGGACAAAAATGTCTATTTTCTAGAAAGTGTCCAACAAAAGGTCACAGGGGGGTGATTTTTGGCAAGGGTGGGTAATTTTGGGTTAAATTTGAAAATCCCAACTTTCAGCATGAAAATCCATTATTTGACCCTGTAATGCATTTTTATCCTATCCATGACCCTTCGAGTGGACAAAAATGTCCACCTGTCATTTAGCCATGTGTTATTGTTGTTATTTGTACTTAATATTGTCAAAATCTGACCCATATGGAGTTACATTAAATCACTTTTGACATGGATTTTTATGATTTCTCTATTGTCAGTGGTGTTTTTAGTGTGAAAGAGATGTACCTTAGAAATAAAGGCAAAATTAGAATTCAACATAAGAAAAATATTATATTTGAATTACAACAATAAACACAATAAATTCTGATCAATATCAGTACAGTTGATAGAACAATAACAATAGAACAATAACAACAAAAAACAGTGTGACATAACTATTGTGTGAGGGATAGGGAGGAATGAAAGTGGGGAGGAGAGAAGGACAGGAGAGGCTCAAATGGTGCATTTTGAGCAGTATATTGCCTGAATGCATCTCTTACATACAAACCTCTTGCATCTAGTGCAAGAGGTTTGCATCTCTTACATACAAACCTCTTGCATCTAGTGCAAGAGGTCCCTGGTTTTGCCCTCTTTGCCGTGGGGCAGGTCCTGAGAGGCCCTTGGTCTGTACCACAGCAGCAGGAGCGGCAGCGGCAGTGGCAGTGGCGTGTGCCCATTTGGCAGCAGCTCATGTCTGCCGGATGGGTGGCTTTAGGCCAACAGCTAGTGGTTGTGGAGCAGGTGTTGGTTGTGGAGCTGGTGGTTGCTGCTCGGCCCAGGCCTTTGCCTTCATCACCCGCTTGCGTGCCATGTCAGCCTGGGGTAACCGGGTTCTCCTTGCCATATGAGGATAGATGAGCTCTTTTCCCAGTGTGACAATGAAGAGGCGCCTGCGATTTTTTTTTTTTTTTCCCCAGCCTGGGTTCAGGGCCGTCCACACAAGGAAGCCGTTCCAGGTGGAGATGTCCAGGATCCTGGAAAACACTGTCACAGGCCACCTCCTCGTCTGTCTTCGGCATGTATAGGTGCCGATAACCTGCAAGATAATAAAATAAAATTAAAATAATAAAATTACTTTTCACACACACACACACAAATACATATAATATATACACATATATCATTCACATAAAATGAGTAAGGCATACCTTGTCCAAGTTATCCACCACTCCCTTGCAACGGTTATAGTCCAGGATTACCTGTGGCGTTTGGTGTGCTGCCTCACTCACCACTGGCTGCCGGTGCTTGGTGCTGAGGAGCACCACCATCTTTCGCTCCTTTGGAACGTAGGAGCAGATCATTGTGTCTTTCGTGAAAGCAAAGGTGGTAGACAGCACCTGCCTTGCCCTCATCTCCATGAGTTGTGCTGGGAGCTCCTGCCTTCTCTTTTTGAGAGTGCCGACAAGAGCCATCCCCCTCCTCAGCAGCTGCTGGCCCAGCTCGTGTGAGGTAAAAAAATTGTCGGTGGTCACAGTTCCTGTGAGGCCCGCCGTCAACTCCATCACCACACGCTTCCCCAGGCCCTCCTGAATGAATAAGAAGAAAGAATGATTATAGGAATGAGCTCTGCATTTTATCTGTGTAGACCAATTTCTACATTTCTACCCAAGTATTTTGATCTATATGTTTACCTCACGTTTTGCTGTTGGGGAAGGTTTCCCCAGATAAAACTGCAAGTTCCAACAGTATGATGTCTCACACTCACAGAGGACCCACACCTTCAATCCATATCTAAATGAGCGTGTGAGAGAATGAATCCATGAATGAATGACAATCT